GGGCTCCCAAGGGAGGTGGTGCTCTCCCCTACCCTGGGGGTCTTCAAGAGGAGGTTAGATGAGTATCTAGCTGGGGTCATCTAGACCCAGCGCTCTTTCCTGCTTATGCAGGGGGTTGGACTTGATGATCTATAGAGGTCCCTTCCGACCCTAACATCTATGAATCTATATCTGGTCCCTGGGCCATATAATTAGACCCCCTGCAGTACATAAATCAAGGCTTTTTTTCGAAAAGTTGAAACTCAGGCTAAAGGGCATGAGGAATAATCTTCTCCCCAGGGTACTTATTCATTGTCTGCTATGGGTTTCTTACTTTTTTGTCTTTAAACCTTGGATCATGATTACATGTGAGGTAAGGAAATGTCCTTATTTACCTATGGGAAATGAGGCCCAAATCCTCAAAACCAGTTAGTGTCCCAACTTCCATTGAAGTTAACAGTTTAGCACAGGAAACCCTGGCCACCATGCTGTCATGGTTCCGGGGTCTTCATGGAAACTGGTTGCAGCAACAAGGGTTTGGAAATGGAGCCCACTGCAAGCCTGATCCAGCCTGCAGGACGGACTTTGCCTGCCCCTGCACTAGGCCCTCTTGATTTATGGTCTGCAGTCAGCATCTTGTATATTGATATCCCAGTGATTTGCAACCAGGATGCCATGAGATCCTTTGAGGGGCACCATGAAGTATGAGGAAATGCGCCTGCCTGGCTGATCCACCATCCCCACTGCCCAGCCCTTCTGCAAGGAGGTAAGCACTGTCACATATAAATTAGTTATTGAGTTTGGGTGCCCCTTAATTTACAAAAGTTATGGAAGGGTGTCTGGAGTCCACTGAGGGATGCCTCAAGTCCAAAGAGGTTGAGAGCCACTGCACTGTCCTCATCTCCTATTCTCACTCACTTCCCTATCAGAGAATTGTAGGATTCTCTCTGAGGAAGAGGCTGGCAGGATAAGTGAAGGCCTATTCCAAAAGCTTATCTATATGAGCTTTTTGGTGCCTTCTGTAGCCTAGTAGACTTCTATATGCAGAAAGCCAGAGCTTCTATACTAGTCAGACACAAGGTTTCTCCCTTACTTTTTTTCCAATCCCATTATCTGGTTAAACTGTTACCATCTAGGTGTCTTCTTGTGTTTCTTTGGAGGCCAGGCAGAGGTTTTTTTAGAAATGTTGTTCTCATTTTGTAGGTCACTAGAAAGCCTTAGTGCAGGGATCAGCAACCGTTAAAACTGGTGAGCCATTGCTTCTGACCCAGCCCCTGTCACAGGTCATCAGTCCCCTCCTCAGAGTCCCCTATTCAGAGCATCCCAGCCCTCCCTGTTCTGTGCCAAGGGCTGCTCTCACACCCTCCTACTGCAGCTTGTGCTTATCCTCCCCACCAAGTGATGCCACTTGCCATCTTAAATGACAATGGGGAACAGCAAATTTGGTGGTGAGGGTATGCAGAGGCTGCAGTAGCAGCATGACGGAGCAGGGAGGGCTGGGGTGGCCACCTGCTAGATGGAGCAAAGGGGTTTGACAGGAAGGGAATGCACAGCATATGGAGAAGGTGCTCCCCACCACCCTCTCGCTGAGTGTTGTCATGGGCTGTAGACAGTTCCTTTGCAAGCAGAAGGTTACTGACCCCTGCCTTAGTAGAACAACAAACATTTAATCAGCACTTGGGTGTATAGTGTTCTGGGTTGAGATGAGCTTGAGAGAAAATTCCCAGCTTCCTTTCACAACTTTAAGGCCAGACATATTGTACCCCAAATACCTTCTGTTATCGGTCAGGCACAGAGGCAAGCTTGCTAAATTCTAATTCAGGGCAGAGGAGGTAAAAACATAAATGATCAAAGTTTATTCAAAGGAAAATGCAAAACCAACAGACATGGAACATAAGTTCCTGTTGTATTCAACACAAGCACATCTCCACAATCCCACCTTATTAGAACTCCTATGTAAACAGCAGGCTTCTGCAGTAAAGCTTTTCTGTAGCAGGATTATCCACAGTACCCTCAGTCCCTGCTTAATTATCACTGCACCTATGACTTCCTTAAATTGGCTTGTGTGGCTGTGTAGGACCTCACAGATATTAATCAACAGGAAATAGCTAAAAGTCTGTTTCTTTCTGTGGCTCAAAATAGAGAAGCACTGTTCTTCTTTGCCACCTTTCCCTCAAATTAGGTAAAAACATCTGCCTGTGTGAAATAGGAAAGAAAAAAATAATCAAACTTAAGACACGGCTTTCTTTGCATTTGGAGACAGTCTTTTTATGCATGGCTAAGTTATATCCATGTTCATATAATGATGTGGCTTTCTTCTTCCTTTGGGGAAGGGTTAGGGAGATTTTCCAGTGATTAACAAGGTAGAGGTAGAATAGTTACTGGTTGGTATGTAAACGTGAATTCTGCAACAGCAGGCAGCAGGTGGATGTGCAGGCTTAGGAGGAAAACCGAATGACCCATTTCCCTCTGTAGAAAATCCTGCTGCTCTGAAATGGTAGCCTGTGCACCAGACCTCTTTGTAGGAATGTCAAGCAAATGGGTCTGAGGCTGATTAACAGCATGTGATTTTTATTTGAAAAATGCTGTTTTCTTCC